TAACAGGAATTGAGTGTTAAATATGTACATAGTATATTGCACCAAATATGACCTTTACCTGTCCAGCACTGAATAGCCAAGTAGGGACTTATGTAAACAATGGTAGCCAGAATTCATATAAACAAATGTGATGTGTATATATAAACAGTGCAGTACAGTTAGAGTAACGATGATTGTATAATTATAACGTAAAATATTTCAAGGTCATGAGAAAATAATAGTTTAGATAGTGAATTGTATATAGTTGCTTACAGCATTATGAGTATGTAAGGTAAACATGACCGATTTAGCAGATGTTAGGTTCTGCGTAATTGTTAAGTATTTGATTATTATATATGTAAATAGTGACCAATATGCGGTGGGTCTGAAGACTGGTAGTACCAATTGTCATTCCAGACAATAGCTTCCTGGGATTGGGGAATGGACCAATCAACGGTCGTTGCACTAAATGTGCATCCCCAATCCATCAGCACTTATCCCATACACAATAACAAATGGCGCCAAGATTCTGCATTTTGTGTCCAAATCGGTATCATTTTGACAGAATCTTGATATGGTTGGGTCGCCAGGATCAACCATTGTTCTTGAGGAATTTCCACCTGCGGAGTTGTCCGACTTTTGGCTTCCCCTGTAAATACTGGGCAGCTTTCGCTGCTCATTGCACTTGGATCTAGGGATGCCAAAGGGACAACTTCCGGTTGTGGGACTGACTCTACGGAAGCGTGATAGGGAGCGAGCCTTCTTGTGGACTTCACTGTGCTATATAAACAACAAGTAGAAAGGAATTTGGACTTGGCTTTTTCTTCGGGAAACACAACGCGAGCGGGGGCACAGTGGGGTTACAGTACGAATATCTACAGTGTGAGTTTTTGTTTGGGTGTGTTGATCTCTACAGTATGGGTTTTGGTTTGGGTGTATGGATCTCTACAGTGTGGGTTTTGGTTTGGGTGTATGGACCTTTACAGTGTGAGTTTTGGTTTGGATGTATGAACCTCTACAGTGTGTGTTTTGGTTTGGATGTATGAACCTCTACAGTGTGGGTTTTGGTTTGGGTGTATGGACCTCTACAGTGTGGCTTTTGGTTTGTGTGTATGGACCTCTACAGTGTGGCTTTTGGTTTGTGTGTATGGACCTCTACAGTGTGGCTTTTGGTTTGTGTGTATGGACCTCTACAGTGTGGCTTTTGGTTTGTGTGTATGGACCTCTACAGTGTGGCTTTTGGTTTGTGTGTATGGACCTCTACAGTGTGGGTTTTGGTTTGGATGTATGGGCCTCTACAGTGTTGGTTTTGGTTTGGGTGTGATGTGACACTATCAAGTAGATCACTCTGTTGTTAAACCAGAAATGGTTATATGAACAGGAAGCAGTATTTTACTGTATATAATGTTGGTTGGAAATTTAAAATATGAAAATAATAATTTCCATGAATTTATTGTTGTTTAATTTAGCTTATAACAGGAATTGAGTGTTAAATATGTACATAGTATATTGCACCAAATATGACCTTTACCTGTCCAGCACTGAATAGCCAAGTAGGGACTTATGTAAACAATGGTAGCCAGAATTCATATAAACAAATGTGATGTGTATATATAAACAGTGCAGTACAGTTAGAGTAACGATGATTGTATAATTATAACGTAAAATATTTCAAGGTCATGAGAAAATAATAGTTTAGATAGTGAATTGTATATAGTTGCTTACAGCATTATGAGTATGTAAGGTAAACATGACCGATTTAGCAGATGTTAGGTTCTGCGTAATTGTTAAGTATTTGATTATTATATATGTAAATAGTGACCAATATGCGGTGGGTCTGAAGACTGGTAGTACCAATTGTCATTCCAGACAATAGCTTCCTGGGATTGGGGAATGGACCAATCAACGGTCGTTGCACTAAATGTGCATCCCCAATCCATCAGCACTTATCCCATACACAATAACAAATGGCGCCAAGATTCTGCATTTTGTGTCCAAATCGGTATCATTTTGACAGAATCTTGATATGGTTGGGTCGCCAGGATCAACCATTGTTCTTGAGGAATTTCCACCTGCGGAGTTGTCCGACTTTTGGCTTCCCCTGTAAATACTGGGCAGCTTTCGCTGCTCATTGCACTTGGATCTAGGGATGCCAAAGGGACAACTTCCGGTTGTGGGACTGACTCTACGGAAGCGTGATAGGGAGCGAGCCTTCTTGTGGACTTCACTGTGCTATATAAACAACAAGTAGAAAGGAATTTGGACTTGGCTTTTTCTTCGGGAAACACAACGCGAGCGGGGGCACAGTGGGGTTACAGTACGAATATCTACAGTGTGAGTTTTTGTTTGGGTGTGTTGATCTCTACAGTATGGGTTTTGGTTTGGGTGTATGGATCTCTACAGTGTGGGTTTTGGTTTGGGTGTATGGACCTTTACAGTGTGAGTTTTGGTTTGGATGTATGAACCTCTACAGTGTGTGTTTTGGTTTGGATGTATGAACCTCTACAGTGTGGGTTTTGGTTTGGGTGTATGGACCTTTACAGTGTGGGTTTTGGTTTGGGTGTGTTGATCTCTACAGTGTGGATTTTGGTTTGGATGTATGGACCTCTACAGTGTGGGTTTTGGTTTGGATGTATGGACCTCTACAGTGTGGGGTTTGGTTTGGGTGTGTTGATCTCTACAATGTGGATTTTGGTTTGTGTGTATGGACCACTACAGTGTGTGTTTTGGTTTGGATGTATGAACCTCTACAGTGTGGGTTTTGGTTTGGGTGTATGGACCTTTACAGTGTGGGTTTTGGTTTGGGTGTGTTGATCTCTACAGTGTGGATTTTGGTTTGGATGTATGGACCTCTACAGTGTGGGTTTTGGTTTGGATGTATGGACCTCTACAGTGTGGGGTTTGGTTTGGGTGTATTGGCTTCTACAGTGTGGGTTTTGGTTTGGATGTATGGACCACTACAGTGTGGGTTTTGGTTTGTGTGTATGGATCTCTACAGTGTGGGTTTTGGTTTGGATGTATGGACCTCTACAGTGTGAGTTTTGGTTTGGGTGTATGGATCTCTACAGTGTGGGTTTTGGTTTGTGTGTGTTGATCTCTACAGTGTGGGTTTTGGTTTGGGTGTATGGACCTCTACAGTGTGGGTTTTGGTTTGGGTGTATTGGCTTCTACAGTGTGGGTTTTGGTTTGGATGTATGGACCACTACAGTGTGGGTTTTGGTTTGTGTGTATGGATCTCTACAGTGTGGGTTTTGGTTTGGATGTATGGACCTCTACAGTGTGAGTTTTGGTTTGGATGTATGGATCTCTACAGTGTGGGTTTTGGTTTGTGTGTGTTGATCTCTACAGTGTGGGTTTTGGTTTGGGTGTATGGACCTCTACAGTGTGGGTTTTGGTTTGTGTGTGTTGATCTCTACAGTGTGGGTTTTGGTTTGTGTGTATGGATCTCTACAGTGTACGTTTTGGTTTGTGTGTATGGAACTTTACAGTGTGTGTTTTGGTTTGGATGTATGGACCTCTACAGTGTGGGTTTTGATTTGGGTGTATGGACCTCTACAGTGTGGGTTTTGGTTTGGGTGTGTTGATCTCTACAGTGTGGGTTTTGGTTTGTGTGTATGGACCTCTACAGTGTGGATTTTGGTTTGGATGTATGGACCTCTACAGTGTGGGTTTTGGTTTGAGTGTATGGATCTCTACAGTGTGGGTTTTGGTTTGTGTGTATGGAACTTTACAGTGTGTGTTTTGGTTTGGATGTATGGACCTCTACAGTGTGGGTTTTGGTTTGGGTGTATGGACCTCTACAGTGTGGGTTTTGGTTTGGGTGTGTTGATCTCTACAGTGTGGGTTTTGGTTTGTGTGTGTTGATCTCTACAGTGTGGATTTTGGTTTGGGTGTATGGACCTCTACAGTGTGGGTTTTGGTTTGTGTGTGTTGATCTCTACAGTGTGGGTTTTGGTTTGTGTGTGTTGATCTCTATAGTGTGGGTTTTGGTTTGGGTGTATGGACCTCTACAGTGTGGGTTTTGGTTTGTGTGTGTTGATCTCTACAGTGTGGGTTTTGGTTTGTGTGTATGGATCTCTACAGTGTGGGTTTTGGTTTGTGTGTATGGAACTTTACAGTGTGTGTTTTGGTTTGGATGTATGGACCTCTACAGTGTGGGTTTTGGTTTGGGTGTATGGACCTCTACAGTGTGGGTTTTGGTTTGGATGTATGGACCTCTACAGTGTGGGGTCTGGTTTGGATGTATGGACCTCTACAGTGTGGGTTTTGGTTTGGGTGTGTTGATCTCTACAGTGTGGGTTTTGGTTTGGGTGTGTTGATCTCTACAGTGTGGGTTTTGGTTTGGGTGTGTTGATCTCTACAGTGTGGGTTTTTGTTTGGGTGTGTGGACCTCTACAGTGTGGGTTTTGGTTTGTGTGTATGGACCTCTACAGTGTGGGTTTTGGTTTGTGTGTATGGACCTCTACAGTGTGGGTTTTGGTTTGTGTGTATGGATCTCTACAGAGTGGGTTTTGGTTTGGGTGTATGGACCTCTACAGTGTGGATTTTGGTTTGGGTGTATGGACCTCTACAGTGTGGGTTTTGGTTTGGATGTATGGACCTCTACAGTGTGGGTTTTGGTTTGGATGTATGGACCTCTACAGTGTGGGTTTTGGTTTGGGTGTGTTGATCTCTACAGTGTGGGTTTTGGTTTGGGTGTGTTGATCTCTACAGTGTGGATTTTGGTTTGGGTGTATGGACCTCTACAGTGTGGGTTTTGGTTTGGGTGTGTTGATCTCTACAGTGTGGGTTTTGGTTTGGGTGTGTTGATCTCTACAGTGTGGGTTTTGGTTTGGGTGTGTTGATCTCTACAGTGTGGATTTTGGTTTGGGTGTATGGACCTCTACAGTGTGGGTTTTGGTTTGGGTGTGTTGATCTCTACAGTTTGGGTTTAGGGTTTACATAGATACAAAATGTGGTTATTAATCTCTTAGTTCATATTTTACCATTTGTGATGTTAATGAGGAAATGTTTTGTTACAGATACGACCACGGTTGCAACTACAACATTCACGAACACGGCTTCGGCGATAAAACCAACAACTCAACTCAACGTATTTGTGACCAAAGAAGGAAGGAGAGCGGAAGATGAATTTCCAATCCTCGCAGTGGTTGTGTCTGCCAGCGGTTTAGTGGTAGTACTGTTTGTCATACTGATAGTGTGTGGTATGAGAAGACGACGGAATCATTCTGGTTTGTGTACTTGCTTGTAGTTACAAAATGTTCAAATAAAAGGTGTGACATGGAATTTTGAGGCGGGAGACATTGTTACATTCTGAGCAAACATCAACAATACATCCCATAGTCCGTATGTGAAATTTGATCTTTGTTTCTGTTTTTAAAAATGTATTTTCTGACAAGTTTGATGTTATGTTGAACGTCATACTCTTATGGCACTTTTCTTTGCCAACAGGTAAGGCAAAAGAAGGGGTGTTGGACAGTACCAGGACGCTGAGACGTGAAGACATAGAGCACAGAGGTAGGTGTATGAAAAACATTCACAAATACTTATGTGTGCTTTGTTACTGTAGCAAGAATAAATGATACCAGAGTGATATTAGTAAAAATGCAACAGCGTAATTTTCCATACACATAGAAAAACCTCCACGTTAGTGGTTATAAGTTACAGGGTTTCTTAACTCCTGATAGAACAACCTCCAAGTTAGTGGTTATAAGTTACAGGGCTTCTTAACTCCTGACAGAACAACCTCCAGGTTAGTGGTTATAAGTTACAGGGCTTCATAACTCCTGATAGAACAACCTCCAGGTTAGTGGTTATAAGTTACAGGGCTTCTTAACTCCTGATAGAACAACCTCCAGGTTAGTGGTTATAATATACAGGGCTTCTTAACTCCTGATAGAACAACCTCCAGGTTAGTGGTTATAAGTTACAGGGCTTTTTAACTCCTGATAGAACAACCTCCAGGTTAGTGGTTATAAGTTACAGGGCTTCTTAACTCCTGACAGAACAACCTCCAGGTTAGTGGTTATAAGTTACAGGGCTTCTTAACTCCTGACAGAACAACCTCCAAGTTAGTGGTTATAAGTTACAGGGCTTCTTAACTCCTGACAGAACAACCTCCAGGTTAGTGGTTATAAGTTACAGGGCTTCTTAACTCCTGACAGAACAACCTCCAGGTTAGTGGTTATAAGTTACAGGGCTTCTTAACTTTTGATAGAACAACCTCCAGGTTAGTGGTTATAAGTTACAGGGTGTCTATGTTGTTATTCGTGGAGGTAGTGCTTTAATGTTGATAAAGGAGACGAAGAAGCTGAATGTTACTAACATGGAAATGAAAGTTAACAATCGATTAATGACATTGATTAAACTATGCAGTATCGACACAGATAAAGACGCTGGTCGTTATGTGTCTGAGTTACCCATAGTCAGGATAATAAATCTTAGCGTGTACATCAGTGACATTAAGGTGTTGTGCTGTGTATTAGCTTCAAAGCCTACTACTTCTTATTGACAAGTAATTTCCCTTTGTTAAGTATCGTTTCCGGAACATAACTTTGCATGTATTTAGTGTAGAATGATGAAAGCTGGTGTATTCACTGGTCATACCATTGAGCATTGTTAAGATTTCATGTTTGGAGCGTAACTGTATTTTATCATTTTGATAGTAAGTACAGTCTTTGTAAACAGTTTAAAATCCTTTAATCTTTAAATTGCGGAATAGCTTCCATACAACTAACAAAAATATTCTTTTATATTTTGACTGCAGTAAACGTAGATGAAACAGACAAAGAAGACGGAACCTATGCTGATATAAATGAAGCTAACCTCTCGCCATCTGTCGATACATCTGTTGTTCCTGGAGATATGTATGCAGTCGTGCATAAGCCTGAAAAGGGTAAGATCCTATCAAACTGAACTGTCTGATAGAGAGAAAGATCTTACTCAACTGTCTGATAGCGAGAAAGATCTTACTGAACTGTTTGATAGAGAATAAGATCAAACTGAACTGTCTTACAGAACTGTCTGATAGACAGAATAAGATCTTACTGAACTGTCTGATAGAGAGTAAGATCTTACTGAACTGTCTGGTAGAGAGTAAGATCTTACTGAACTGTCTGGTAGAGAGAAAGATCTTACTGAACTGTCTGATAGAGAGTAAGATCTTACTGAACTGTCTGGTAGAGAGTAAGATCTTACTGAACTGTCTGATAGCGAGAAAGATCTTACTGAACTGTCTGATAGAGAGAAAGATCTTACTGAACTGTCTGATAGAGAGAAAGATCTTACTGAACTGTCTGATAGAGAGAAAGATCTTACTGAACTGTCTGATAGAGAGAAAGATCTTACTGAACTGTCTGATAGAGAATAAGATCTTACTGAACTGTCTGATAGCGAGAAAGATCTTACTGAACTGTCTGGTAGAGAGTAAGATCTTACTGAACTGTCATATAGAGAGTAAGATCTAACTGAACTGTCGATAGAGAGAAAGATCTTACTGAACTGTCTGATAGCGAGAAAGATCTTACTGAACTGTCTGATAGAGAGAAAGATCTTACTGAACTGTCTGATAGAGAGAAAGATCTTACTGAACTGTCTTACTGAACTGTCTGATAGAGAGTAAGATCTTACTGAACTGTCATATAGAGAGTAAGATCTAACTGAACTGTCGATAGAGAGAAAGATTTACTGAACTGTCTGATAGAGAGAAAGATCTTACTGAACTGTCTTACTGAACTGTCTGATAGAGAGTAAGATCTTACTGAACTGTCATATAGAGAGTAAGATCTAACTGAACTGTCGATAGAGAGAAAGATCTTACTGAACTGTCTGATAGCGAGAAAGATCTTACTGAACTGTCTGATAGAGAGAAAGATCTTACTGAACTGTCTGATAGAGAGAAAGATCTTACTGAACTGTCTGATAGAGAGAAAGATCTTACTGAACTGTCTGATAGCGAGTAAGATCTTACAGAACTGTCTGATAGAGAGAAAGATCTTACTGAACTGTTTGATAGAGAATAAGATCTTACTGAACTGTCTTACTGAACTGTCTGATAGGGAGTAAGATCTTACTGAACTGTCATATAGAGAGTAAGATCTTACTGAACTGTCTGATAGAGAGAAAGATCTTACTGAACTGTTTGATAGAGAATAAGATCTTACTGAACTGTCTTACTGAACTGTCTGGTAGAGAATAAGATCTTACTGAACTGTCTGGTAGAGAATAAGATCTTACTGAACTGTCTGATAGAGAGAAAGATCTTACTGAACTGTCTGATAGAGAGAAAGATCTTACTGAACTGTCTGGTAGAGAGTAAGATCTTACTGAACTGTTTGATAGAGAATAAGATCTTACTGAACTGTCGATAGAGAGAAAGATCTTACTGAACTGTCTGATAGAGAGAAAGATCTTACTGAACTGTTTGATAGAGAATAAGATCTTACTGAACTGTCGATAGAGAGAAAGATCTTACTGAACTGTCTGATAGAGAGAAAGATCTTACTGAACTGTCTGATAGAGAGTAAGATCTTACTGAACTGTCTTACTGAACTGTCTGATAGAGAGTAAGATCTTACTGAACTGTCTGATAGAGAGTAAGATCTTACTGAACTGTTTGATAGAGAATAAGATCTTACTGAACTGTCGATAGAGAGAAAGATCTTACTGAACTGTCTGATAGAGAGAAAGATCTTACTGAACTGTCTGATAGAGAGAAAGATCTTACTGAACTGTCTGGTAGAGAGTAAGATCTTACTGAACTGTCTTACTGAACTGTCTGGTAGAGAGTAAGATCTTACTGAACTGTCTGATAGAGAGTAAGATCTTACTGAACTGTTTGATAGAGAATAAGATCTTACTGAACTGTCGATAGAGAGAAAGATCTTACTGAACTGTTTGATAGAGAATAAGATCTTACTGAACTGTCTGATAGAGAGTAAGATCTTACTGAACTGTCTGATAGAGAGAAAGATCTTACTGAACTGTCTGATAGAGAGAAAGATCTTACTGAACTGTCTGATAGAGAGAAAGATCTTACTGAACTGTCTGATAGAGAGAAAGATCTTACTGAACTGTCTGATAGAGAATAAGATCTTACTGAACTGTCTGATAGAAAGAAAGATCTTACTAAACTGTCTGATAGAGAGAAAGATCTTACTGAACTGTCTGATAGAGAGAAAGATCTTACTGAACTGTCTGATAGAGAGTAAGATCTTACTGAACTGTTTGATAGAGAATAAGATCTTACTGAACTGTCTGATAGAGAGAAAGATCTTACTGAACTGTTTGGTAGAGAATAAGATCTTACTGAACTGTCGATAGAGAGAAAGATCTTACTGAACTGTTTGATAGAGAATAAGATCTTACTGAACTGTCTGATAGAGAGAAAGATCTTACTGAACTGTCTGATAGAGAGTAAGATCTTACTGAACTGTCATATAGAGAGTAAGATCTAACTGAACTGTCGATAGAGAGAAAGATCTTACTGAACTGTCTGATAGAGAGTAAGATCTTACTGAACTGTCTGATAGAGAGTAAGATCTTACTGAACTGTCTGGTAGAGAGTAAGATCTTACTGAACTGTCTGATAGAGAGAAAGATCTTACTGAACTGTCATATAGAGAGTAAGATCTAACTGAACTGTCGATAGAGAGAAAGATCTTACTGAACTGTCTGATAGAGAGTAAGATCTTACTGAACTGTCTGATAGAGAGTAAGATCTTACTGAACTGTCTGGTAGAGAGAAAGATCTTACTGAACTGTCTGATAGAGAGAAAGATCTTACTGAACTGTCTGGTAGAGAGTAAGATCTTACTGAACTGTCTTACTGAACTGTCTGATAGAGAGTAAGATCTTACTGAACTGTCTGATAGAGAGTAAGATCTTATTGAACTGTCTGATAGAGAGAAAGATCTTACTGAACTGTCTGATAGAGAGTAAGATCTTACTGAACTGTCTGATAGCGAGAAAGATCTTACTGAACTGTCTGATAGAGAGAAAGATCTTACTGAACTGTCTGATAGAGAGAAAGATCTTACTGAACTGTCTGATAGAGAGTAAGATCTTACTGAACTGTCTGATAGAGAGTAAGATCTAACTAAACTTTCTGATAGAAAGATCTTACTGAACTGTCTGATAGTGTTACTGATCTGCCTTATATAAAGTGAGATCTTACTGATCTGTGTTACACAGAATAAGATTCCAATGAACCTTTGGATATATATTCTGCTAAATAAAAACAGTGGCAATTATGACAGCCGTGCAACTTGTGCTGACAATATATACATATAATTATACAGGGACAAGGAAGTACTTGAAGCAGTGCTTATTATTAATACAGTGTTTTCTCACGAAAGAGTAGATTAATTAAACTGCATCATACAGCTGTTACGTCCTTCTAGGAGACATCAGTGATGTTCAGGCCTACAGTCTGAAATCCTGAAAGGTGTATGTGGAAAATCCAAAATGATAAAAAATGTGATATTCTAAATGGAGAGGCGTTATGAATCACATAAATTTCATAGTTTTCATATATCATATAACTTTAGAACAGCGTCAAGTACATGTGTTTATTCGGAACCACTATCCAAATGAAGTAACACGTGACATGCATGTTTCGGCAAGCCCCGTCAGCAGTGTCTCCTACCTGTGGTCTAAAAAGACGACAAGAAATATGTTATTCAAACAATCATGTGACGTTGAAAAATGGTCTTTGTAATCTGAGCCAAAGTTGCAAGAGGATTACGCCAAATCTAAAACATGTAAAAAAATCCAATGCTAAACACAGTAACAGAAGATTGCCAACTTACAAAATTTGACTACAAAACATAATACTTCAGTCAACCTAACCAGGTAAAGGGTTAGGGTCAACCTAGGTCACTAAGAGTCTCTGAGTTAAAAAACTTGTCCAACCTTGGAGGCTGCAAGCATGCCAGTTGCAAGGTTACGACCAAACCTGGAGACTGTTAGTTCACCAGTTATGAGCTTACGATCAGCCTTGGGCTGAACATTTACTAGGAACAAGGTTACGCCAGCCTTGGGGCTGGAAGTCTACCAGGAACAAGGTTACGACCAGCCTTGGGATTGGCAGTCTACCAGGAACAAGGTTACGACCAGCCTTGGGACTGGCAGTCTACCAGGAACAAAGTTACCACCAGCCTTGGGACTGGCAGTCTACCAGGAACAAGGTTACCACCAGCCTTGGGACTGGCAGTCTACCAGGAACAAGGTTACGACCAGCCTACTATTTACTATTCATTAGCTTTTTGAAGAAGAGTTTTAAAATCATTCAACATAAAACACAGCCATCATGAATCTTAAATACCGCTGTTAATTTGTGTGTTTTGTTGTCAGCTGGACCTGCTGCCGTTGGTGAGGACCTTGCCGTTGGTGAGGAACTTGCCGCTGACCCCGGGTCAATGTATGCACAGGTACAGAAATCTTCAGACGGTAAGTCACAAAATATTGACACCATAGTAACATCATCCATACATACATCATTTTTCTATTTAAATATGACGCACAAATCTAGTTTCAATCTTTTCTGACGAGACATTTGTGGTATTCGGTAAACGATATAAACATTATGGATATATTTGTTTGGAAGAGTTCGCCATTATGCTGTTAATCCAGACAAAAAGGAAAAAGAAAAAAGTCAATATCTGTGTGTTAAGGAGCGTTTGGATGATTGGAGATTCCAAAGATTTTCATCTTCAAAGAAGAAATATACCAAAACTATAATTTGAAAATCAATAAAATATGTTTATTGTTTCTTTTTTAACCCCTTAACACTTAAACAGTAGATCTGTTGTTTATGTCATTTTAGAGCGAGTAAGTAGTTTTGTGTGTGTTAATATCAGTGTCAACAATGGCATTTACTCTTAAAATCACGTGTCAGAAAAGGTCGATATTTTACAAATTACAAAAATAAGAAAATGAATATTCTTTACATCTCTCTTGAAATACATTGTGTTACAGAATGCATTGTACTGTATGAATTACCCACCTGCTGTAGAAATGTCCTCGGCATACAGGATCAGTGTATGTGTTGGGATCCTGTGGATGTATCCTAAAAGATGACAGTAGGACATTACCCTAGATCGTGTTTTTGTACTTATCAATTATCGTTTACTTAACATACAAAGTGAAGACAATATGAATTCATTTATAGGTAAACAAAGCCTAATTTTGCCAGCGGAAGCCAGCAGGCCGAGTCCACAGGTAAGAAATACTTTGGTGAATATGATGATAAATGGCAGTGTTTACTTGGGGAAATTGCCAAGACATTTTTGTCTTTAGTTGTAAAATTGTCATATACAGTTTCTACAGAATATTGTTGTTCCAACATCAAGCGAGTGATTGAATATTTCAAAGCATGAGGGAGCAGATCAATATATAACCCTAGTGAAATACTAGCCGCACTACACTGCTTGGCTACAGAGAACTTCTCTTTAGATTGATTGGTTGAGTGTCAGACTTGTAAGTCAGGGGTTCGAATCCAAGCGGAGGCATTGGAATAAACAATGGCCTGTGTTACATTAGCGCCGAAGTTCGCCAAAGCCGAGCAGTATATTGTGGGTAGTATTTACCACAGTTGCAAATATTAAATATCTTGTTTTCCTTATCTAGGTTTCACGGTACGAAAACAAGGACGGGCTGATTTATTTGGACGTGGAGATTAACAACACAACGTGTCAGAAAAATATTGACAAACAGTTGTTAAACGAATCACAGAGTGGTTGTCAGTATGCAGAGGTTCGGCACAAGTGATCACGGCTAATAGATATTGGATGTGAAAATTAATTTCTCTTTCTATGACAGGAATAGAGGATTTCTATATAAATATGAATATTCATGGCAAAACAGTATTTCATGTGAAATATAGACTTCATCCAATCTTTAATGTAAATATTTGAATTCGTGTTATGAAATGAATCACCACTATGTTCGAGATATATCTCATTTGCCCCGGACAGATTATGAAAATCAGATCAAGGTTATGTCAGTTAAAACTGAGAATTTTGTAATGATTTTATGTCCCACTTACTTCTGTGTTGACAACTCTGATCGATGCCAAGTACATGCTTTGATATAGTAAAGTGAAAGTACGTCTGATCGTATCTTTCAAACGCATGAAAGACTGGAATATCAGGACGAGTCCAAAATTCAGTCAATTCCCCTCGAGAACTTCGGATGGGATGACCTAGGCTCGGTTATAACTGGAACAAGGACGTTAAGCTCCAAAAGAGAAGGAAAAGATCTGGTGTCTTATGTTCCTATCGACCGCCGGGTGACGACCGTAGAAGTTATGAGTAGCAGTATAGCGTGCATGCAATATAGCAGAGGACTGATAGGGTTTACTGGTGATAAGCCTGAAAGATTGCCTCATCCGCTGTAATTAACGTTGCCTTAGTGAGATAGTCGCTATATGGTTCCTGTGAATTGGTTCCTTAGGCCTAGTTCGAACTACGTGTAGATATTTTCGAGGCGACAGTAAGATTAGTTGCTCAACTCAATAGTTTGCTTGGCTTAGTTCAAACTAAAGAAGTCCCTTCCTGCAACTCTTGTTTGCACTGAATTCCAGTGCAGTTATAAACCATAAGAGTAGGAAACCCCGCGTAACCGGAGTAATTGCTTTAACAACGCTAAATAAGCATATACAGGATCAGAGTTCATTCATTGGTGATGTTTAGTCCCCTTAACCTGTACGTAGTGTAATCCGTGTGTATATAGTGTGTTCCATTCATATGCATATCTGTATATATTTTGCTTCGTCAGTAGTCCCTCAATTCGTCAAGCTGATTCAAATAGATTCCCAGCAAGGTAATCTGGGGCTTGCTCACGTTTCTGACCCACATAACAAATTGTTGATAGGGTTGCACGTTAAAATATCAACATATTTACACAACCATAATTAAAAATTGATTAAAAGAGGGCAACACATGAACAAAAGAAAGGCATGGGAAATCATAAAAAGGACCAAATAAGATCAGGTGTTTCGAAATGGTAAGCGTGTTCAGCTACATCGATGACACCTATCGTTTAAATCTAGGTTGATGTTAGCATGGAATGTGTTCCCTGGTTCTTGATAATGCAACTGCACGGACATCCTCGATACTCCAGAGGTTACGATCACTTTCACTCTCCGCACCCCCTGGAACATGTGATGGCAAAACAGAAGGCACAAACGAAGTAAGTTGATTGGTTTAAGGAGCAAATACTTACCAATCACAGACCGCTCTTTTTTAAGTGTGACGCCAAACATCAAAGTCATTACAATACACCGTTATGTGACCTCGGGATTCGTTTGATGTACATCAAAGAATCAAACAAGTCTTTTTGTCTTGTCCACAAGGTGTCGGACATGGAACCATCAATTTTACCATGACATGTTCTAAGGTTGCAGCAAGCAAACATGACCGTAACCCCTGAAATATCGAGGATGACACAAACTACACAAACAGACATTCAACATAAACTGCCTATCGCACAAAGAAATAGCAACATAATGAGATCTCTCAAAATCATGAATCAGGCGACTTCTTTGATTGTACTTCGTTTTCTTATCAAAATGGCTGTTATTGAATAAAGCTAATTTTCTTATTGAAAAGGACGTGTGTCTCTTTATATGAAAGGTTTAATCCACCGTTGATAGTATCAAGCCAAATGCTTCCGTTTCACACACTCTCTGTGGTAATTTTTCCAGTGATGATTTACAGTATCCGAATTTCACCGTCTATGGCCGACTAAATACGGGATTTACAGTATCCGAATTTCACCGTCTATGGCCGACTAAATACGGGATTTACAGTATCCGAATTTCACCGTCTATGGCCGACTAAATACGGGATTTACAGTATCCGAATTTCACCGTCTATGGCCGACTAAATACGGGATTAACAGTATCCGAATTTCACCGTCTATGGCCGACTAAATACGGGATTTACAGTATCAGAATTTAACCATCTATGGAGGCCTAAATAACGGATTGACAGTATCCGAATTTCACAATCTATGGAGGCCTAAATAACGGATTTACAGTAGCCGAACTTCACCATCTATGGGCGCCTGGATATAGAATTTACAGTATCCAAATTGCACCATATATGACCGCATAGATATAGGATTTACAGTAGCCGAATTTCACAATCTATTGGCGCCTAGATATAGGATTTACAGTATCCGAATTTCACCGTCTATGACCAACTTGATACAGAACTTACAGTATCCGAATTTCACCATCTATGGAGGCCTTAAAAACAGATTTACAGTATCAGAATTTAACCATCTATGGAGGCTTAGATATAGGATTTACAGTATCCGAATTTCACCATCTATGGAGGCCTTAAAAACAGATTTACAGTATCAGAATTTAACCATCTATGGAGGCTTAGATATAGGATTTACAGTATCCGAATTTCACCATCTATTGGCGCATATATATATAATTTACAGTATCCGAATTTCACCATATATGACTGCCTATATATATGATTTACAATATTTTAATATTTTAACATCTAGTTTTTCTATTGCCATGGCAACTATGTTACTGCAAATTTTGATTCCTTTTTAACTTCACTGCTCAGTTGAAAATTACATATTGATAAATGCATAATGGATGAAAGACGATCCCCGACACTTCGTCAAAAGTGACCTAATTTAACATCGAAATAACAAACTAGCTTTCTTTTTTTAAATCTTTATTCAATTTTAGCTTATAAAGATACATGAATGTAAACATTCACATGATTCAATTTCAACATACAACCGGTATGATAGACGAGACAACAGATCTTTATACAAGATATTGTGATTTTTGACAGGTGAGATGGGCGGAGTCATCCAGTCCAACGCTTTTTCATACAAATACATGCACAAATAGACCCAAATACAGTGTTATTTCAACAGTTAATTCATCGTGATGTTGGTATGAAATACTTTAATGCGGGTTGTATCCCTTTTAAACAAGACAATTTACTGACACCATATAGTCGTCATATTTTCATTTTCCCTCAAAAACTTGCATGTTTATATCAAAAGAACAATGGATAGTATGGACTCCTTTAAAACACTATGAAGTTGCTGAGCGAATTTCATGCCAATTCGGTCTAGTGTTCAGTGGGTTTACGTACACTAGTTGTACACATGTTTGGCGTGCGTCTGTGTGTGTAATGGCATGTGTTGTGTACATGTATTGTTGCTGACCAGTGATTTGCCTATGTAAACAGATGGCTATAACAATATGTAAGACAGAAAACAGAACAAAAGTTATATAAAAGCACATACAGAAATCTTACAGTGAACACAATGACCACGGCCCTGTTGATGGACATGTAAGCTATGACCAGTACACGATTATTTATAGACAGACCAGCGTATCCTTCAAATATGTAACCCGTATAAAAGTGTAGCCCTGTACAAAACAGTGACGTCACCTGATCCAAACCTACAGATCAATAATCTTGTGTATATATGTAATTATTAGAAAGATATACATGTATGGCTGGTAATTTTCAGATATAATACAGAAACAATGGAAAAGATAATGTATTTTTTTAACAAATGTGTTTACATGAAGTGCTCCCCTCCTCCCCATACCCAGCCTTCCCATTAGGTTCATCAGTAACTAATTCATAATCCTTTGATAAATTCATCCAAAAAAGCACAAAAAGAATATCACAGCTTATGTTTGGCATAAAAAAATGACATTTAAAACAGATGAAGCAAATAATGAGTCACTTAATCTAATTAGCATTACAAAGTCTTAATCAGGAAACAGGAGATTTCAACTGTTATACTTCACGATATATTTTTGCAAGACAAGCAATATGTCATCCAGATTTTTGCAGTCAATTCACAAAATATCTTAACACAACTGCAATTTTAAAAATCAGCGATCCTTCACAGTGAATATAAGCACAGGATGTGATTCCTGTGTGTCTTTAAGGGAGCAGAACTAACACATCCAGGCTTGATTGCAATATATAGTTGTGTTTTGATAGGACAATGATGTTTATTAAAAAACTAAATCACCATCGAAAGAAAAGACCACATTACAGAGGCTTTGTCCTAAAATTTCTTTTACAAAAGAAAACATGATTAATGTAATAATACAAATATAACACAGCCTTCAATGTCAATACATTGACAGTTTTACCTGATACCAGCATACCTCATTATCAACAATAGTCACTCCTACTAGAAACATAAACACACCCAATGAAAAATTTTGGCAATTAAAAATATGAGTTAAAATAGATAAGATTAAAATTACAGTATGGAGTCAACTGACAACTAGACATCTATACTGCAAAGATTATCAAACAAAATCGGCTTAATGATGAGGTATATAGTATTCAGATCAGCAATCATTTTCATGTATATTTTACTGGCCATTAAAAAAAGGGTATTTTTTCAAAGATTGCATACAGCACGTTATATGAAACTTTATGGCTGTTTGTTTTTGACATATTTGTGTGGCTGTACCTTGAGAGAAGCTGATCCTTTCATTGTGGAAGTAGACAACATATACAGTGAAATGGACACCATAAGTTACAAGGAAACAAATATCTATCAATGAAATAAATGTAAGTCAGCTTGGTCATGTGACACATGAAATACATCATGTGATCCTGACCAAGATTACATGACACAACAGGATGATTTCTATTGGTGTATAGCAACCTTGATAGACTGATGATAATATTATGTGTGATGTATATAAGTTCATCAATACATTTTCTGCATGCAAAATACAGTGTAAACATTGTAAAATACATATACGCCATCATATACATTATATACAGTGTACACAATAATATCTCCAAATGATATAGATTGTAAGCTAAAACCAATAACGGTCAACGAAAATGATGGCAAAGTATACCTCAAGTATCCACAAACATTTCTGACAACGGTTTTTTACCTTGTTTTTTCTACATGTAAAATCACATGGCAAATAAATAAAACAACCATACAAAAGCTCATGGTTTATGTAATAGGACGAGTCATTGATGGAGAGTCAACTTCTTAAAAAATCTTTAACTGCTGATACAGTGTTGTGTTACAATTATCATTCCTGGTAAAAAGTAGGTTTAGATCAATAGGTTCAAATCATGGAGAGATGACAGGCAGTGAAAAAACTATTGTGTCACCTTCAATAGAGAAACAAGGAGTAAAAAGTATCTACTTGTCTACATATAATGACAATCACTCAAGTTGATCCAAGTACATCCCAAGTATGTGTACTTTAGTGTAAATGAAGTACACAATTACACTACAGTTGTAGAAAATGAAGAACATTGCTTTTGCTATACTTTTAACACTGGTACAATTACTACATCAGACTTTATTTAGAATCTGCCCTGGTGGTTTGTAAGACAAGTGTGGTAATCAGTGACTGGGTAGTTTTACTACTGCTACCTGAACATTTGTTCTCCCTTGAAATATTTCACATTCAAAGAGGACCTCTGAAAGAGGCTAGAGTTTGTCCTAAATATCTGTGGACACTTCAAATATACTCATCTTGAAGATTTGTCAAATATCAAACATTTCATGTCTACCATTTTATCTTGAATCATGTAAATTTCTCTTCCCAATTTAATAATCTGTATAACTTCACTGAGAAATTTTGAAACTTTTACAAAGCTGTAATTAAGGTGAGAGTGAAAAATGTTTGATTTTTTCGTTCGATTGATGATAAAATGGCACACGTTTAATGTTTCATTATTGACAATCTTTCATGTACAAAATCACTGTTCTGAAAAAAATATACTTATTTATTAAAATTAAACACATGAACATACATAAACATGTTTCAAATTGAGGTAGGAGGCACCATATATAAGGTAATTCAAACAACAATATGGTCAAGTTACAACGGACAGGTTCACAACAGTAGCATACAATCATTCACCGAAGCCTCATTTCACTCCAAAGTAATTTTTCAGTTGAAAATGCTGCTTCTCCAGTGACTTTTCTATATACATCAGTAACAATATACAACCATCTTAAAAATTATTTCACTGAATATACTGAAGTTAGATCCCTGTAACACGAAACCTTTCAGCTTCACTTAAAAAAGCTACCATAAAAATTTATTTCTTGTCATGAGGTGAGAAAGGAAACTTCACTAAAGGGAAATAACTGCAATTATTTCAGTGTATCAATATAATATCTGTGTGAAAAAAAAATCACCATCAACAATCAGTTACCGGTAATCATTCATAGATAAAACAAAACAAGTATGATTCCTACTTCACAAGCTCTTATTTTACTTGAAGCTGGGCTGTAAGACACAGGAACACATACTGAAAAGCTGCTTTTGTTTCGTTTAACAAAATGCAAATTATGAGTGCATTTTAGTATAAGATGATCCACATTTACCCATGCATCAACACAAGGATTACCTGAAATGTGGCAATTCTAAAATCATGTGACAATTCTAAAATCATGTGACAATTCTAAAATCATGTGACAAATCATTTAAACCTTGAAACATAATTTCTATGTCAAACAGCTAAAAAAGTCAGCATTTCAACATCACATTTAACATGACTTACATAATCAGTTACAAACATGAGATGGTTCTAGGGAACAGATTATAGA